CGACTAAAAGTTTTGCTTTTTGTAGCGCAGTTTCGGGCACTCAAAAAAGAATTAATGTCCGCCAGATCTGCACCCCGAAGCGAGGACCACACAAAATAATCCATAATATTAGTAGTCAAAAAGTTAACGAGATGCTGCACTTCGTAAAGATATGGTTTTTATACTTTCAAAAATTCCCTGTCAGAAATAAAATAAAAATTACCCCACTGGACGAAAAAAAAGAACGCCGTTACTCTTTCCGTTCAAGTAAAAATGTAACGCATTCCTGTTCCAGCTCCACCGATGCAAAATGGAACGGGGCGGCGTTCCTTCGTTCCTCCTAAAAGGAACGCGTTCCAGGAACGCCGTTCCGTACAGCACTGGTTTAGGCGGGGATATGCGGATCGCAAGTTCGTGTGCTACTTTTGCAGGGGTTGTAGTGACGTCAGAACGCCAAGCTCTCATTGGTTCTCAATAAAGGATGGTGGGTAGACCTCATAATAGCTTGCTTGAGGTCTATCCACCATCCTTCAATGAGAGCCAATCAGAGCTCGGCGTTTTGACGTCACCATAACCCATACAAAAGAAGCAGACGAACTTGAGCTTCGGAAAAGGAATGCACAAACACGACGAATGCCGTGACGAGGCAGTTTTTCAATCTACTTGATTGACTCCGCGTCGGATGATTGCTGCGGTCGGGAGTGAAACGGTGTATAGACCAACTCAACTCACTGACGTCACCCCACTGCGGTGGCGCTGCTGTGGGTAGTGCACATGCGCAGACGCTTTGCTCCTCCCGATTTTGGTTTCTGCTCACGCGCAGTGCCCATACCTGGTGTAGGCATAGCGGGCTTGTTTGGAAACGCTGTGTCGGTGTATAGTCAAATTTATAGAGTCACAAAATAAGATATACGCTTCAGAGTATAACGGCAGTTTATAAACGTTGTCTGTCCCTGCTTTTTTTCTATCACTTTAAAAGGTGTTTTTCTCTGCCCCAGTTTTGGGTCAAATTCATCGTGGTAAACTTCTGCCAGCTCAGCTGCGCACTGACTGTCTTTATAAGTGCCATGTTGGTGCTTGAAACAATTTGCTGCCATTTATCTGAAGACTTACTTGAAATAGGAGGAAACGGTTTTCGGTCCCTCAAATATATTAGAACAGTCCGTGATAGAGCAAATACAATACCCCCTGTGCTTTCTGAGCCCGTAATTGAAAACCGGGAAGTTGCATTTCAGACATGTAACGATTACCAATCGCAAACGCGGTCAACGGGAAAATGGCGGCCGGCGGAGTCCTCGAATAAATGGAGCTGAATCGCACGAGTTACCGAGAATAGGTATCATTTACAGAAATAACAAAAAAAAAAAAAGAAGAAAGCGAACTTATAGTTCGTAAATGAGATAAGGGTTAGTTCTGAAACTTTGACATGTGGTTTGATCCGCTAGCGCTATGTCTTGGCGGAAAATGAGCGTTTGTCTATGGGTAGCATATTTTTTGTGGGACAAGAATACAGCGAAACAAAAACACGAATTATTTTTTTTTGGGGGGGGAAGGACGCGACGGTTGCGTCAGCGTTCAGCGTGAACTGAGCTGAGCTGGTATCGAGAATGAGTGCTTTGTCAGCATTCGTCGAGGACTCGGACCCAGGTGTACTCTGTTCACCCTTACGCTGTGACTGCAGCCAAAGCTACAAGCGCGAGCTAGCACGCGCTCGCGCTTGTAGCTTTGGCTGCAGACGTGAAATTCTAGCACGAGGGCTTGTTTTGCCGAAAGACGCTTCAAAGCAGCGACCTCGAGATCTTGTGCTTGTGGCATTTGCTAAAGTGTCAGGTTAAAAGGATCAGGAAAGGATACTGGTTTTTAAATGTTCATTACTTTCCAGAGGCGTACTGGTCCTAGTCTGGCCCAAGTATACTCGCACAGACCGCCAATGATTCAGAAGCTTCTTTGTCGCGGTGAAATTGCGGTGATAAAAAAGTACCGCTTCTTTCAGTCTTGCCTTCGCAAAGCTTGATGACGCAATTGTGGGATCCAAACCACCTGCCTGACGGCAATCGAGAGTGGCTCATTGATTTAACACCAGAACTGCAGGAGCACTCGACTTCGGCTCGTAACAATCAACGCCTCGACGGACACTCGGGTAGCGGCTCGTGTCCAACCACTGAGGTGAAATAGAATAGCCGGACTCTACAATGCCTGGCGCTCCAGCTCGCGTTCTCTACTTCGCCAACCCCAGCGCGTGGCTATGATTAACGTTGGCACCAGAGAAACTTTATCAGAACAAGTGGACAGCGCGTGGCCACATGTTCTGGCTTCGAGTGGATGGGATTAACGATGATGATATGGCCTCCGTTCAATGCGGTGATGATGATGATTATGATGAAGATGCTGATGTATGTAGCTATCCTTCAGGAACGGGGGGTCACGTACGAATTGTGTCCAAGCCAGTGGGCTCCTTTGTGTAGCTCTTCACATTATTAACTTTTTTTTCCACCAATTTGCCAGCCGTTGTTTTGTTTTTCGGAGTACCCATCTCTCCGTGGAATGTGCTCCGGAATTGTCCGCCTCTTGAAATCCCAGTGCTTCCGTTAGTGGCGGCGTTGGTGCAGCTTGTGGAGCTATAGTGCTGTAGCTCAATAGCCTCCGTGCACACTCGCCAGTGGTGTCGACTGCCGTCCTTTGTCGTCGCTGGGTGCTTGGTCGGCTTGGGTGTTGGATAACTCCCGGGCAGCGGAGAACTCGATTGTTTCTGCTTCTTGGTCGTAGAGTATACACTGTAAGGTCATTATCGTCAGGTCGTACCACTACCGATATGCAAGTGTCCGCAGCGCTCCTGCTCGCGCCTCGAACAGGGGGCGACTGCCCAGGCTGCTGTTATAGAAATCCTCGGCTCCGATATTATGCTTGTGGGCCCAATATACGTCTAGCGTCGACTTCTTACCTGCCTCCTCCATCCAGTGTGCCGTGTCCTCATCTCTTACACGCCTTCTCACCTCGATTGCCCACTTGCCGTCAGAGTCGTCCTGAACCGGGTCGGTGAAAAAATTGTTCTTCTCGCGGAGCTGGTAGACGCGCTTCACCCACCGTGTCTGGAAGCATTGGAGACCCAAATACTCAAATATCCGTCTGGGCCATCGACATTTATCTATGTGTATGAGCCGTCCTCGATAGCAAAGCTTGCGGGCTGACCCCTTTCCTCGAAAGTCGACCACCCCACGTTTCCCTTAATCGCCTTAATCGCCACTTGCCCGTGGCAACTGAGTGCCAGGCGGCCGACATCCCTCTGCTTGCACTCTAACCAGGCTCGTATGTCAGCCGTGACACAAATTATTTCATTGGCGAATGTAACTCCAGGCACTTGCACAGCCTTCCATAGCTCCTTCACCATCAGGTATCTATTGCAGCTCCGCAGGATTCGCCGACGTAAGATGATTTGCCCACTCTTGTCGATTATGTGCTTGATATTTGGCACTGTACTCGGGCGCGTTCGTCAGTGTCACTCCCAGATATCTGTATTGATCCGACACCGCGGCAGCTTCCTGCTGCAGCTTCAACACTTTGCTTCCTGTGTAGTCCCCAGAGAACTGCTCTTTTTGTTTTCTACAGTTTGCCTGACATGTCGCACCATCTAGCGGCCAGCTTTTGAAACGATGGCCGGTTCCTTCCGTCGAGGTTCCGCCATTTGCAACGCTGTAAACTTGCGTTCTACGTACACTTATGTGTAGTTTTCGGGCAGTCTGTTATGGACATGGTTAAAAATAAAAAGCCTACCGGCAACGTCGAAAATCACCGCCCGAAGAAACGCCAAGGACTGCCATAACAACGACGGCACCCGTACCGTAAGCTTGTTCCGGTTTCCTTCCCAACTTTGGGAAAAGGAAAGGCTACAGAGGTGGACGGCGGCAGCGTGCTTGCAGTTTCCAAGGGTGCAGTAGGGAGAGTGGCACTAGCTCTAAATCATTTCCCGCGACAGGGGATTCAGCTGTATAAAATAAGTAAATCATACTTCATCATGAAGCAATTACTCATCAATGATCACCTATAGATAATATTCACTGGGCACCATATTTGAGGTGGCTGCTCATGGCGAATGCTTGAGATAACTTCTTATTTATGGTCTCCCAAAGAAGATAATCTCGATGGCGTACAATGTACGTGTTGAAAGTGTTGCTGAAGCTTTCCGACAACACGTGCTCAAGAGCAGCGAGCTCCGTAGCCGCCGCCAGTGAATACCACCTATTGCAGCTTCTTTTAATTTCGCACTCACGTGGATCATGATGTTGCGCGGCACGCAAAAAAATGGTCCACGTGCAGGCGAGCTGGTGCTTAGTAGTCATGATGTTTAAACCCGAAGACTGGGAAGGAAGCTTTGAGATATCTGCCCCTTTCTCCTGTTTCTTCTAATATATCTTCAAGTTTCCTTCCCAGTCTTAAGGTTTAAACATCACGGTTGTACACGTGTTTTCCTTGTTGGGAGTGACACTTCGCCAATACATCTGTCCCGTACGTTTCGCTCGTCGCATATACGTGTTTGCTTTCTAATAGCCTTTGCCATTTTCTTGAAGCTTGCTTTTGAAAATAAGAGTGAATCTCATTAAGCGGTCTAAAACCGCTAAACAGCACAATCGGAGGCCTCCCGTCAAACGCGCACTGCTACCACCGCTACAGCTCGGAGACTGCCAATCGTTTCGTATTGTCGCTGACGGAGGGCGCCGGCTGCCGCTCGACTCTGGGACCGCGTAGTCATCTACTCTGAGCAAATTTCTCGATTTGTTTGGGAAACTGCAATTGACTAGAAAAAAAAAAAATTGAGGCCTGTGTATTCGTTTGTTAACGTAAGGTAGTGATTCTAAGTAGTATTTAGCGAAAGTGAAAAATCGTTTCATGGCCCCTAGTTTACGCGTTTCGTGCCCAAAAAACAGTAACCGCGAATGTTGCTACACATGGTTTTGAAAAGTGTTTATTGATGGAGCGGCATCAACGAAACAAGAAATGTTTCGGCACTGAAATTGGACCTGCTCAGGGACAACGATCGCAATGTTGCCCATGCTCATTGCCACTGCACAAATTGAATCATAGTAGCCAAACCATCATCCTGGGATACGTCAATTGCTCTACGCGTTTTGTCAAATACTTTGATTTGCTGTGCGCGCAACTTACCAGTAGCTGTGTGACCCTATACTAACAGATAACATTAGGCAGCCAAACACACACTAGCAAGTAGCCTGTTGGTTTACGATTTTAACACGCCCTTTCACACATGGACTTAAAGCGCCGTTTACTCTGTCGTGTTTGCGGATAATGTTGGCAACAAAAAGGTAACGTTGTCGCACTTCCCTTAAGTGAAACATTAACTCTATGTGACTCACAGCTTAAGAAGTATAGGGCATGAAGTTCAAAGTTCTTACTCATTGATTCGTTGTTCGGTGTTTCTATCGGCTGTGCTTTGTTTCAGCTTAAGTCCAGACGCAGCTGACGCTACGAGCTAATGGAACCAATCAAACAGCGTCAAAATTGACAGTCGCTAGGTCGTCCCTGTACCTGTTTGGTCCAGCGATAACAGAACATGCACATTAACACGATGAACACCATGAGGCTGTGCTTTGACGCTGTCCGATTGGTCTTCACAGCTCGTAGCGCCGGTTGCTTCTAGACCTAAAGTAAAACGAAATACAATGGCGCAATTTTAGTGGCTAAAGAGCGATAATAACATCTTCGCTACTTGTCACGCCCTGCGGTTCTTAAATCGCCAGAGACTGTAGGCATGGTAATGCAACCAGAAGTGTCCTAAACAAAAATTAAGAACAGTAAACTTGTATTCTTTAATATTGTAAAAAAATAATTTGCACGTTGATAAACATCAAGTAGTTCTACCAATTACTTTGATTTGGATGAAGACAACTGCCGCAAACAAACCTTATCCGAGCTTGAACGTTGCGCAACGGTACAACGACCAGAGGTTCGTAAGAAGGCATTAACCGAATTGTTTAGCGGCTTGGCCCGATTTTGTCCTGGCCTCGCTTTGGGGCTACCGGACCAGCTTAGACTTCAGGAGCGTATATTTCTGCTTGCGAACTGTGCAGGTCTGGAGGGAGGGAGCGGAAGTCCCTTGTGCCCCGAATTGGACGTAGACGTTGAAACGCCGCCGCTCGGTGAGTCTCACAAATGCCACAATTATACCCAGCATCAAACTGTCCTATAGGGGACCTATTCTACTCTGTGGCAGGACCGAGGGACCGGGACATAAACCGCCTGTTGCGATTGGTGAGCGCGCACAACCGTCCAATCGGAGCGGAGCGGCGATCTCCCGGTCTCTTGGTCCCCCCGCGTAGATTATAGGCCCCAGGTTTCTCTTATGCACCAATTCAGTGTTTACTAACAAGCCCTCGGTAACCGGATCCGGGAGAAGTCAGGCATCTGCGCATGCGCAGAGACGACAACAGCGCCACCGCAGCAACGTGACGTCAAAGAGTCGAGTCGGTGAATACTTCGTTTCCCTTCGAGTCTAACCGCGGCCGTCGCATCGATTCGATATAGCCAATTAAGCGGCGCCTAACGTGCCTCGTTACGGCAGTCCTAGTCTTTGGGCGGCTTCTATCACCGGCTTTACCAATCACGCAGGGAATAAAGAAAGCGCAGGATGGCAGTATAGTCACTGTGCGTGATTGCAGTATAGTCGGTGACAGCAAACGCACAAAGTCGATGAGCGCCGTGACGATGCGCTTTTAGGGCTGCTTGATTATCTCCATCGGATCGTAGCATGGGCTGCGGTTGGAGTTAAATGGAGTAAAGCAGGTGTTTGAAGACGCCCCACTTTTTTTTTCTTGGTTTCTCGCTCCTCGGGACTTCATATCGCATTACAAGTCGAGTTATTTGGCCATAGGCGTTCGGCACTTCGTGAAGCCCAGGTTAACCCGTGGCCACGAGGCTCGACACTGATTGGTTGACGGGTGGGAGAGGAGGAGTGAGGTGCTTGACGCTGATTGGTGGTCCGGGAGGTCATCCGATCGGAGGGGTAGGCGAGGAGGAACTCGACCGCCTGTGCGCACCGACGGAGGGGAGCTCGAGAGTATGGAGGGCTCTGGAAGATCGCCAGGTTTATCAGCTCGGTTAACGGTACACTTATCGCTTCATTCTGGGGACAACTATCAAGTGTACACTTAGTACGCGTAAAACTGTCCGTGAAGAGCGCTGTGAACGGTAGGCGTCTAGCGTCTGGAAAATCTAAGTTCGCTAAGCGTTTGTGATGCTAAAACGTTTCACGTTGACACAATCGCCTAGCAAATTGCCATAAATTTTTTGTCGTGAGCCCAACGTCAACTATTTTGTGCGACGTTGTCAAGGCTATGCGGAGAGCGAGTCGTCTGCTATTTGAGCGAGGTTCTGGTGACGTCAAAACGACGCGGAGTTCTGATTGGCTTTAATTGAAAGGATAGTGGGTGGACATCAATGCTAGAATCCTTGAGGTCTACTCACTATGTTTCAGTCAGCCAATAAGAGTGTGGCGTTCTGACATCATCGCAACCCCTGTGCAAGAAGCAGACGAACTTGCGCGCCGCATGGAGTACCTTCCGCAAAACTACAACGGTGTGAAATGCTGCGCGTTCTTTATAGTTTCATTAAGTGCGCTTATCTAGTTGTTTTTAATGATGCCCAGAAGATTATTATAATCACCGACAGAGTGAGAAGGACAGGTGGCGTTTTTTGAACGCCCGGTTTCCAGCACGCGCTCCGTACTTATATACTGCTGTGTTTTGGCTACGCGAAAACGCTCAAAGTGCATGAGACGCCAAGGCGTTCCTTCGAAGGGAGAAAGTTCGCGCTGGAGTCCGGACAATTGAAGCACCCCCTGCCATTCTATCGTTTTCAGCGACTTTTTACTGACCAGCTTAAAATTTATTCGCTCAAAAGTAATTGATATCCCAAGTATACCTGATGCTTTTGTGTGTGTGTGTGTGTGTGTTTTTCATTTTCCCGATTATACTCGTTGGCCGTTGTGACGTCAAGTTTCCTTTCTCCTGCCATGTGTACTTAGTCCAGAGGCATTTGGCCAGGGCTCCGTGAGACGCCCCTTATAACAGACTTATGTTGTACTTGTGTTTGTGTTGCAGATAACGCTTCATCTGTTGAGGGGACACCTATTATGGCCGCTGAAGGAAGGTCTTCTGGGGAAAGGCGCAACACGTCGGTAGACAATATGACACGTGAGGTTTTTCATTTTTTTTATTTTGTAAACCACAGTGAAATAGAATTTGCTCGCTACAAATGTGGAAATGTGCTAATCCTTCGCCCTAATCACGTTACGCTGTTAGGACGCCATTTTAACTTTCCGTACAGTCCTTAAGTGAACACTCATAGGCCGTCTGTCATTTTACAGCGATAGCTGAGATGGGTTCTCTCTCTCCCCCCCCCCCCCCCCCTTCTTCCCCTCCTCGAAATGATGTTGATGTCGGTGGTCAATATTGTCACGTGGCGTCGTGACGTCACGGCTGCACGTGACGTCAGGTTTCCACGTGAGATCACTGTGTCACATAGTGTCACGTGACTGCCATCATTTCTCTAGAGAGTTTTATGATTATAGACGAGTCTGTCACTCTCCGGCGCAGATGGCAATTTTTCCTTCAAGTAAGGTGCAAATACATGAATGCAAAATACATACGGATAAATTAGGTTCCGATAAGGTGTCGCAGCCATCGCTGTGTCTGTGCTCTGGGTTCACATAGTGCGGTCATTAATTTCTTATTCCGTCCGTAACTGCGTCGCACACTATGCCGACGCAGAGTCTTGAGCTGCAAATGGCAAGTCCAGGCATGCAGCTTCAATTGAGTGACAAATATACAACGTGTTACCCCCGCACTTACCGCAGCAAAAAAAAAAAGAAAAAATGAAACGAGTTGATCATCGCAAAAATAAATGGCGCGTCGTCAAACGCATATTCTCCGCCCAAATGTATACTATCTAGCAATCCAACCAGACGCCAAAGTTTCAGAAGTAACCGTTATCTCATTCGAGAATTCTGAGTTATACAACTAAAAATGTCAGTGCGAAAATGGGATTCATTTACGGTAGCTGGCACCATTTACCTCCACGTGTTCGAGGAATCAGTTGGCCGCCATTTTCTCATTGACATTTAAAAAAGAAAACACTTAAAAATGTTTGAATAGTATAAGGGTTAGTTATGAAACTTCGACTGGTTCCCACCACAGTGCTACATTTGGGCGAAGAGTGAGCGTACGGTAATGCATATAGTTTCCCTTTGCGATGAGAAAAGCCCTGTAAATATTTCGGCGACACCCTGTACATGCCCTCGACTACGACTCTGTACGCATAGTCTGTCCGCCGGCGGGACCACATTATCCTTTCAAAGACAGGCAAGTTTTCGTACTACCACCTGCTTCCAAGCATACGCTATTCCGCGGCCAATAAATAACGCTAAAGAAAAAAAACAAAAACTCAAATAAGTCTTAATTCTACGGTTATGGTCAAGAGCCGCGGATCGTGCAGCGTGTTTGAAGCTGCGACGGATGTCTGTTTCCGAGCTTTTCCGAGCTGCGGAGTCACGCTAAATTCCACTAAATTTAGCGGATGTACGTCCCGCTAAATTCGTCGCAAAAGGTTTCTCCACTGAAGTAAGCGGGAGAGCTATATTTGTATTATAAATGAACACCAATTCATGTTTTCTTTCGCTAAGTTTAGCGCGTTACATTTTAGCGCGACATTTTTTTTTCATTACACATACTGGTACATTTGATTTTGATAAAACCACTAGCCCTATACGCATTCTGTGTCAACCAGTTTTGAGATGTACATGTTAGTATTTTTTGTGGTGTTTGTGTTTTGTTGTGCTTGTGGGAGGAGGGCCCATGCACTCTGCTAAATCGGAAGCGTCTAATGTCTTGCAAAGCACTTTGGATTGCCAATTACAGTAATTTAGATATTGATTTTTTTCAGCTACGTGATTCCATAAGCTTCCGCAGTAAACTGCAGCGTTTGACTCTCTCATGTTCTTTGCGGGAAAGACGGCACTCCAGAGTTCCTAGAGTGTGCCAGTCGCGTGACTGCAGCTATACAAAATATTCTTCTCGAGTATAGATAACTGAAAATAAGCGTGCGCTTTCAGACGAAGTCGTAAAAGGCCCGTGCGTCAGGTCCGTCGTTCGACGCTGCTTCCCGGCCGACATGGTGTACCAATTCTTCTACTCGAAGCGCGGCAGGAAGTGCACCGCCCTGGGCAAGAACACCAGCACGTGCCTCCGGAACGCCAACCGTTTCCGGACCTTCGCCGCTTGCAATCAGGCCTGCCGCCGTGAGTTTGCTATGGTACCATGGATCCCGTCTCCGACCGGCGTATTTACCGTGTCCTCGCTCGTGGTCTCTCGAATTTCGTCTGATGACGTCACAGATGTCATGCCGTCGCCTGCCGCGATTCTAGCGGTGGCCCAGCAGCGGGGGTAGGTGACGCCATAGTCTCCTCTGTACTCACAGAGCATAGCAGTTCGACGACGGTGCCATAGAGTGCGCGGTTGCAGATTTGGAGCGCGAGGATCCGGTAGCACACAGCATTTCTCGGGGAACCTGCTGTAGCGGACGCCCTCTTTGCTGCAGGTTGTAGTCCAACTTGGCAATTCACGGAAGCTTCAGCAGCCAGGAGCTGGGGCGCAGCGATGACAGTAACATTAGCGTTCGCTCGTGCTTGCTGCCGGAACCTTTAGCCCTAACAACCAGGATTGCGACGTCCGACGGTACGGCACGTGCCGGGTTCTCTGACGTATTCTGAGGCCGATTCGCGACCGCTTTCTATGCATGGACGGTATAGCAGGTTATGGTTCAGCAGGCTGAGGCGCGTTCCGGTACAGTAGTTATAGTCATTTTTTTGTCAATATAAAATTCTTGCAAATAATCCAGATGCATTAGGCAACTTCATTCTAGGGAGAATTTTGAGCCTGGTAACGTTTTAATTTTGGAAGAATGAATACGTCCCATGTTCACGCCCCGAGCAACGGCAGAAAGCCCACGGATGAGGATTTGTCCCCCTCTCAGACGGGCCTCCTAAGCTTTTTTTTAGTAGAAAAGACGATCTCTTAAATTGAGATGGAGTTCGTGCCACACGGCACCGTAAATGCTCCTTCCCCTGAAGTACCCTTTTCTGGAAAGGAGCTCGCTAGCGCCCTTTTAATACCCCTGTCAGACCGACGACCAATTCGCACTTTCCACTTTTCCCCCGCTTCCTCCTCTCCCCCTTCCACCCTGTCCATCATTGCCTCTTTCCTCCTCGCCCATGGTGAGAAGGATCTTCTGCCTTGCAGAATCTTGAGTCTGGTCATCGGCCTTTAAGCTGCTTTAGTAGAAAAGGCCATCTCTTAAATGGAGAAAAAGTTCCTGCCATATGGCACAGCAAATGCTCCTTCACCTAAAGCATAATTTTAGAAAAAGGAGCTTGCTAGCGTCCTTTAGTACACAAGGAGTCCTCTCGACAGTATACGCGCTACGGGCATTGGAGGCGAGCTGCCGGCATCGTTTCGTCTCCCTTGAGTTAAAAATTTGAAGGACTAAAACCAGCATTGAATTTTCAGGCGTTGGCTGACGGTACTGTACCCATGAAAAGCTTTCGTTGACAATTCGAATTTTAACTGTGTCCGGGATGATCTGTATCTTCTTCCGTCTCACGCGTCTCGTGCTATTCGACAATTCGCCCGCGGGCTCACTCCTCTTTCAGGTATTGCTGGTATAAAGCTCTAGACTCGGATGTAAATAATTTTCAGATTTTAACCATAGAAAGATAAAAATCTATAATAGTTTATGTTTTTCTGTAAGCAGGCAATAGTTTAGTGCACTGTAAATTGAGTATACTGTTGTGGCTGCCAGTGTCTGGCTATGACACAAAAGCTTCTTGTGAATGTTGCCTTTCCAAATTATTTCAAATATTTGAGTTCCAAAGAAGCATTAACTTGCAATGTTTTAAACGACTATATATTTTAAAAATGATATCATTAGTTTCAGTTTTAACTTTGTGTGGCCAGTACCTAAGGGATTAAAATCGGTGGTAAATAGCATTTTGACGATTGCGTGACAGGGGCTCCTTTAGCAGAATATCCTTTCAGCGGAAAGGATATTTATTGAAAAGGAGCTTTAGGGCGTCTTCTGCCAGGAATCTTAGTCCAAAGGAAGTACTCTCGACGATAGGCGCTAACGGAATTGGGGGCGAGCAAGGGCATTATTTGGTCTCCCTGCAGTTAGACTTTTGTAGGACTCATCTCAGCATGGGTTTTTCAGGCGTTGGCTGAGGCTACTGTAATTATATGAAAGGCTTTCCTTGCTTGCCGATGTGAATATTAACATTACTAGCAGTGTCAAGACGACCTGTCTCTTTTTCCTCTTAAAGCGTCTGAAAATCGCCATCTCGCTTGCGCGCTTTCTCTTCATTCAGGTATTGCTGCTATAAAGTATTAAACTTGGGTATAAAGAATGGGGTGGCTTTAACTTAAGTAAAATGCTTTTTTTTTTCTCAATAAGTCCAAGATGCACTAAATTTAGAGAGTACTCTAAATTTGGCTTACTTTTGTGTTTACGAATGTCTGGCTATGATACGAAAGCTTCTTGCAAATATTTCTTTATTATTTTAACTGCATTATTTGCGTTTCAGAAATAGCTCCTGAAATAAACATTAACTTGTAATGTCTTACACTCTCAGAAAAAAAGGTGTATTATTACACCCCTTGTCCCATATAATACACCCCAAAACTTCAATTCGACGTACAGCGCCCCATAATCGAACAGGCGGCCCCAAAGTTTACGAGGGGCTTGATAGCCGTGTGGTACAACTTATTATGATAGCTGATGTACGTATTATTGACTACAAAAAACATTATTGGAGTTTTCTTGGCCGTACTGCAAAAGCTCAGTGTTTTCTTTCTTTGGTCTTTGATAGGTACTACATAAATTTAATAAGTTATATGGCACCGTTACCAAGCCCCTGGTAAAATTTGGTGCCGTCTGTTCGACTATAGGGCGCTGTATGTCGAAATGAAGTTTTGGGGTGTATTATATGGGACAAAAGGGTGTAAGGTGATACCCTTTTTTTTTAGAGTGTAGATGAGTAAGAAAATTTTGAATTACATTTTAGTTTCGGTTTGAACTCCTTGTAGCCAGCCGAAAAGCAATCAATATCGGTGGTAAATAGAATTTTGTCGGCCGTGTTACTGCAGCGTCTTTAGAGAATATTCTTTAGCGGAAGGGATATTTATTGAAAATGAGCTTTAGAGCGCCGTCTGATAGCGGTATTAAAGGGAAATAAGCTCCAGATGAATGGAAACCATGATTGTAAACTCCAAGATGGCTACAGTGTCTTTACTCAAACGTAGCCCACTTAGCTGAGTTAGCGGCTCTAGAGGTCCTTTGCAGCAGCTGTGCATGGGCGCCGCCATAACCAACCTTCAGTTTTTGTGTCCTCTTATTTTGATAACTTCACTCCATCAATATCACACGAGGGCAGGTTATTGCCATTTGAGATACGACTGTGTCCACCCCAGCGCTGGCCTTTGGAAGGCTCGTCAAAACTCACTTCAGTGTCTTGGTATTTAGGTGAGACAACAGAAGGTCAACAATGGCGGGTGTAATCTGGCGCGTGTGCAAAGCGCCCAACACACGGCTCAGACATCACGCCACTGTGATTTGCGCTATTGTAGGCACTGCGCATGCGCAGAAGCTTCACCTCACTCGTATTTGGTTTCTGTGCACGCGCACTGCCTATACACCTGGTGTGGGCAAACGTGGATGATTGCAGGGATTAGTGGAAATAGTGGGTTCGCTGAACGCCAGACCCCGCACGAGGAGCAGACGACGCTCTCGTTTCCTCTGATTGGAGGGCCACAGCGTGAAGAGACAAAGGCAGCTGGTCTAATTCCTCCAATCAGGGCTCGGCGCTCTGGCGTTACCGCACGCCCCTATCACCTCCTTTCCTTCAGTTTCTCTCCGAATATAGTCGTCCTTTTTCATTCAAAGTCCACGTTCAAAACGCGCAGGTTCCACGCTCGCTCCTAAGATGACGTCAGAATCTGGCAGGAAACCGACGCCGATTTCCGGTCACGTGATCTACGATGCGAAAGGATGCAGATTGCGTCCGTCTCTGGGACCGTGCACTTCGGGAGACCGGCGCAGGGCCGAGTTTTACTTCGACACGTCCAGTCAGGTGTGCGAACGACGTAGCGACGGCGAGTGCGCCGATGAGGGCTACGCGACGCTGAAGGCCTGTCTCTGGGCGTGCCACGTTGGCATCGAGGGCGCAGTCGTGGCCACGTAGATGATGAACGCTGACGCTGCCAGCCATTCCCCTTGCCAGAACTGATATAGTCACTGACAACTTAGGATGCGCAGGGTGTGTCAAACTGTGAGTATCTGATTGTCACTCCCCAGTCAATACGATTGCGGCAATGGTCGATAAGAAGGCCGAAGCACCAATCACGAAGCAAGAAGCACGATCGCTATAGACCGCAACCTTCGTTTCTCAAGCTCTCAGTGACTATACATGAGTCCTAGTCTATTACCGATTTTTATATGATGATGATCAGAATTCGCATTTCCAGTTGGGTTTTGATAGAAGGGTGAAGCCGACGCGACATGTTAACATACAATAAATAAACTCCTACTTTTTCTGTTCCTTTTGTCATGGTGATCTTTTATTCGTTGTCTTTGAAACTACCGTAAAATATATTAAACAGTTTGATGATATAAAATCTTATTATGGGGGCACGTCACCGCCGAACAAACAATGACGCACACCAGTCTGTTCCTAGAAATGCTCCTGGCGCTGGTTTTCCCGATAACGTTCGTGGCAGACCCGTCCGATGGCAGTGGTGGGGAATTCGTTTCCCGAAGCATGAACCGACACTCGAGCCGACACCGGGTACCTCGCCAGATCTGGACGCCACGGCGTATTTCATCTGGCAACCGGGGACATCCTCGGAATTGACCAAGGAGGATAGAACGGTAGAAGAGGGCATGACGACAGCCGCGTAGCCTCCACAAGCCATGTTCCCTTGACGCCTCGCCTCTTTCTCATTTTTCTCCTTACCCTCCTTACTTATGAGGCCAACGTGACCACATCACGTGACCGTAGCTAGCCTTTGTCTAGCCTTCGATCTGATAAAACCTACAAGACGGAGCGCGCGCAAGCCTGCAATGAATCCTTCTACAATCAACCATCCATCTCACACGTGACAAGTCACGCGCACCAATAGCCAGAGAGATCTACGGTCACGTTGGCCACAACATCGTTTAAACTTTTAATTCTAGGCTTCACCAATATTGCAACGTGCCCCCTCCTAGTACTTATAACCTCTTTGAAATTGGCACCATAAATGACTACGTCACAACATTTCGTCTGGGTCCAAACAAACCGTTGCTAGGGACGTTGCTATAGACCAGGGGTCTCCAACCCACGGCCCGCGGGCCAAATCCGGCCCGCGGAGGTCTTCCGACCGGCCCGTGGCTGGCTGCAGTTCTCCCAATGGAGCCCGGCCCACGGCCCGCTTCCAGCACGCCCGCTGCTACTGGCAAAAAAATAAGCGCGTGTAAAACGTCGCCGCGGCGCGCACCAACCGCGTAAACGAAGTTACCAGAAAAAAAACGAGAGAAAACTGCCTACCGTAAGGCGTGTCCTCTGGTCATATTAGTAATTGGACATTGTCATTAGCAGAACCTACACTCCTAGTCCCCTGTTCCATATCTGGCAAACTAAGTACGTTAAAATTAATTTACGTCCCTACGTATATTGCGCTTGGTGTACTACGTCGTACCTATTAAACATTGTCAGCATAACTTCTATCGTTCTCACTAGTCTGCTGCCCTGTGTAAACGTGCCAAAGTTCCTATGCGCTCTGGTTTATGCTGGTATGTTTTCTGGGCTCCAATTATTGTGCGATGTCATAAGCAGCTAAGTGATTAAATTTCATAACAAAGTGAATGCATTCATCCACCTTAGAATCTTGTTGTTTCATGTTTACTTAACTTTATATATTGTATATTTAAATGCTTAGACATCTAGGATTATTTATTTAGATTTTCCTCATTTACATCTGCTCATTTATATTTCCGACCCTTGAGACAGAGACAGAGCCTCCATCCGGCCCCTTAGCCAAAAAGTTTGGAGACCCCTGCTATAGACTAATGCATGGAGACTCCACATGAGCCTAGGTTTTTGCTTACAAGTAAGTAAATCATTTTTTAAACAATCTAACTTCTTGTTATATAATTATGAAGATCTTATTGTCGTCTCAGTGTCGTATTGCAACGATGAAAGCCATTTCTGAAGTATTACACTCCGCTTTGCTTTGGTAGCAGAAGACAAGATAGATTTGCTGGCCTCTGTTGCAACAGGTGTCTTTATTGAATTGCGTTGGTAAACGAGCAACAAAAACAAGTGCATCGCCATGGCCGTAGAGGTTCCCACGATGTGCGTTTTTTTCTGTGAAGAACCCAGCTTAGTTCAAAGGGGTAAAAATGCCGTAAAATCAAACCACGTCATGCAGATCAGTTACGACGACGACCTGAAGTGCATTACCGGCATAATCCAGGCCAGCATGAGAAACAAATCGTAAGCCGTCGAGGTAAGTCGTTTATTATTGTTGAGGTTGTCAGGTTATTAAAAAATTGCATGTCTATCGCGATTTCGCAGTATTTTGCTTTTTTTTTTCCTTGGTATACATCAAGATCCGTGGATGTGCTCTTTTGGTGAAGATCTCCATCGAACCCGCGATGCGAGTACAATCTGTAATAAACTCACCTTATATTTTTTATCCAGTTTTATCACGCTTCGGAGTCTTTCGGAAATCTGAATAAACTGCTCAAATCTTTCTCCACGTGATGGTTACAACCACGAAGCACCCTCCCATAGCGGGAGTCCGCAAACAAAATTTGCGATCTCAACCGATCTCCTGAAGTGCTTTTCTCACGGGTGCAATGCAATCTTTTAGCAGACGATCATCTCGATCGACGACCGGACCTTCAATAAACCATATTTTGCATCGCACCCCACTATGAATTCTTTTAAGTGTCTGAAACTAATTATATTTCAAACAAATTCAATAACAGAATATCGTCTTTATTCACACGATTCAGACGCCGGCGCCGGCTGGGCCGGCGGGAATGTGGCAAACGACATACTACTTGCATTCGTCGTCTGCTGGAGGCATCTTGAGGACCGGAAGTTAGTCGTAAATATTTCAGAAACAAGCGATTACCGACACACATCTGTCGAAACATATATGACATTTAAGCTTTCTATATCTGTGATTTTTAGAAGTTTAAATCCTACTCCTAATTTTTTAACGTTCGGGTTTTCGTAGCGAAACCTAGTCACGTGTATTTGTCCATAACAACGACCCTAGCAATGGTTTGTTTGGAGCCATGTCGTCACACTTACGGAGTCAATAGCTACAAAAGGAGCTGCCACTTTCCGGCCAGTTGGGGTACGTCACCGCCGAACAAGCAATGACGCACACCAGTCTGTTCATACAGACGCTCCTGACGCTGGTTTTCCCGATAACGTCCGCGGCAGACCCGTTCGATGGCAGCGACAGCGAGTGGGCAATTTGTTTTCCGAAGCATAGAGCGACACCCGCGCCGGTACCGCGTACCTCGCTAAATCTGGACGCCGCGGCGTACTTCACCTGGCAACCAGATCCTCGGAACTTAGGCTGGGTGGCGCAAGCTACCGCCCGTTACAGTGGGTAAAGTCATTGACATAGATACATCCGGCTACAAAAAAAGCTGCCACTGTCCGGCCAGTTGGGGCACGTTACCGCCGAACAAACAATGACGCACGCCCGTCTGTTCCTACAGGTTAATTATCTCGACAAGGTACGATGTTTTCGCAATAGCGATTTCTGTCTGTTCATGGTGTCGTGCCCCAATGAGGACGTTCGCTACTACTGTTTGCTGTCCTGCTATTTCATTGAGTTATGTTATATTGTTTCGCTCTCACAAATGCTTTTGGTAACGTCGAAAGACATTGAATCAAATCCACGTTCAGATACTGAAGCTATTGCTAGCATTCTCGCTACTCTTCAGCGAATTGAGGCTACTGAAAACGACATCCTGGCTAAAGTCATGGCTCTCCAAAATGGACAAAAAAGCACGAATGCTTTAGTAGGTCAACTGTCTGCAAAAAACACTGCTAGTGAGGCAGAGCTGGACAAGGCAAAGACTGTATCTGGCTTTGCTTCAACAAACAGCATGTCGGTTGAGCTGACAAACATGAAAAATAAAATGTGATTTCCACCCACAACCGATTACGGGGATGTAATCTGTTATTTTTTGGCTGTCCTGACGCTCTGACCAAAACGTGGAGTCAGTGAGAAAAAAAAAAAAAAAGTACTCGCTTTTTGTTGAGAGAAGTTCGGTATCCAGTTAGACTCCGCCAATCTTGAACGGTCACACAGCATAGGTAAATTCTAAGACGGCAAGAACAAACCTATTGTTGCCAAATATTTCCGTTTTCACGACAAAAAGACTATCTTAACCATCGGGTTCAAGCTAAAAAAAAAAAAAACGATTTTGCTGTCCACGAGGATTTTTCTGCTTCAGTGCGGCAAGCCCGAGCTGAACTTTTCGAGTGCGGAAAAAGCCTTAACGTCTCTTTTCAGGTGTGCTTTAATAAATTATACATTGGAAATACGCGCTATTACCATGGTCAAGATTCAAAATCTTAGTGCTTCACAGCGAATAAACGTCTCACAAAAGCAGGCACTCACCCAATTACAGACAAAAACATACGCACAGCGCTGAACTCACTACTCTTTGCATTTTGCCTTCGTATTCTTCTACTTATTGTTTAAAAAAAATCTGGAAATTGTTCTGTCCTCATTGTTTCTCCGCCTATTAAAACGAATCCGTAAAATAATCCTCGATTATCTTCTTAAGGTGAGGTATTTTGCAGATAAGGTGAGAGATAAGCTGCTCACGAGGCATCAACCAAGTTGGTTGTTGCCTCGGTCTAGCACAGCGCAGCTACGTAGTTGCTGTATGTTAGACCGTGCTAGACTCAAAACTGGTTAAAAGAAGCATCGTGAATCCATGTCTCAAAAAGTCAGTTAACACATCATGCAAATATTTGATCAAAACATGCTTCGATGCGCAAATCTCCCGCTTTACAGCAGCAGGGTACCCCAGTGTCTTATTAACGTCGGTTGCAGATAACCTCCTCGAAAATATGAAAAGACGGGAGGTCACTCAACCTCCATCAAGAGACAGGTCAACGAGGCCCATTGTTGTGCCTTATATTCAACACTTCTCCCATGGACTGAAGAAAGTAGTGAAAGAAGACAATGTTGAGGCGGTATTCTCAGCTCCGAACAAGCTGTCCAGCTTGTGCAAGAAAGTGAACGCTTCTTCGAACCGATCAGAGAGCTGCACTAAGAAGCACAAAACCAGTTTTGTCCAGTGCACAGAAAGGTCGTGTACTCCAGTTCTCTCTCCTGTGGAAAACGCTATATCGGCTAGACTGGACGGTGCCTCAACGATCGACTTCGGGAATACCACAATAGGGAGTTTTAAAATAGCGCACGCTAAAGCTTTGCGCACGCAAAGAATAGCGTCGTCAACACTGCGCATGCTCCGAACGCAAACCAGGTTTTGCGCTTTGCGCGCGCAATTTTAGGG